TCTGTTCGTTAGAAGTGTTTAACATTTCACTTTTAGTACTCAAGATTGACCAAATTCATCTATAAAATGACTGGGACAATTGTTACCAAAAAACCCCACGGTGAAAGAAAAAGAAAAACCAGAACGTCATTAGAGAATTGCAAACGAGTAAGTTGCTAGAAATCAAATATTGTACCATAGGAATCAAGATTTTAAAACAAAACCACAATTATTCTGAGATATTTGCAGGACTCCGAAATGCAGGTGTCTGCGGTGGGGATCAAACACGGTATTACTCTTTCGGGGGCTAACGCGTTCACCATCACACCATGAAGGTTCTTCGTTTCGCCTGTCTTTCAGCTAGTCTTAAAATACCTCTGCAGCACCAATTTTTAAAGAAACATACAAGAAAGAGTACGGTAAAAAAAATAAAGTGTAAATTTTAAAGTCGACTGAACAGTTTTTTTCAGATAGTCACTTTATTCCACAGAATTTCTCTTCCCCACATTATGGAGTTAAATTACACAACTAATTACCTGATTCTACATAAATTATAGAAATAATTCGGTATCGTTGATGAATGGATATGTGGGGTTGTGAACAGAAAGATTTATTCAGTACAATACCTGCGGGCGTTTCGGCTGTTTCTTGGGTAGTGAAAATTGTAACAACATTGATAAAAGAGTGTTGACTAGTTATATTAAAACTTTTAACAAATTTCTCTCCGAATCAAATGGCCCTATTTGCTAAAATCGTATCCAGAAAGAAAGAAGGTGAACTCGTACAAGATTGGCATCATTCCTAAGAAGTCATAGTAGTTTTTTTAAACATAGGTTTTGGACACCTTGTTTTCACAAGTTGTGCGGTGTGAACCACAGCGTACCGAAAAAACTGCTCCAACGATTTTTCTTCTCGACTCTGATTAAGTTCTGTGAAAGGATTTCCATAATGTTGGCACCAGTCAGTCGCCGGTGCCAGATGAAGGCCACCGAAGGAGGTTCGTCGCATGCGAATCAGACAACGGGAATTCTCAACACTGGACTGAGCTGGTCCTTGGGACGGAAATGTATGCAAATTTACGACTTAACGAAATAAAGTGCGGCATTAGTAGGTTCTTCTATTGCTAAGGGAAAATAAAGTGGTCTTCTATAATTGGTTACGCACCAGTAATAAAATAGGAAGGAACACTCCAAGAAGCCTTTCAAAATGATTGAACTAACCAGCAATCACCTGGATTCGCACAAACACCTCCAAACTAGTTGTTTTGCACTTTATCGCAGTAAATCAATTTACTATTACTATCAATATTCACTTGCATATTCATATGACTCGAGTTCACACACGTTGCTGGATCCCAGCAATTCTTTCATTTGCTTCGTTGCTTCACATTCGTCATTTACAAAGACTTTGGCATTTACATGTTGTATATGCTGCCAGTTGAAGGTTTTCATCTTCTTTGTAAATATCTTTCACACTTAATCTGTTTGGAATCCCAGGATAAAGGTAGCCGTTACCTTTTGTTGATCGAAGATAGTTTTTCCTCTGGCACCAATTTGCCGACATCGGAAAAGGACTCTTCGATCAGGCTAGCTTGGAGCGGGAGGGAACCAGTTATCACGTGTGTATTAGCTCATGGTAACCCTGCTCTTTGAGCTCTTCCTCCCCCATAGTACCAAGCTGTAAGTACTACTCACTGCTGAATCGTCAGGAATCAGAATGGACCAATTTAGCCAAGCAATACAAAGTGAATCATCGCAGTGGACAAGAATGACGACAACCGAGAATAGTAAGGGATGCCCAATGATGACCACGTAATTTTAAACAGTGTTAAAACGTTTCCCCCTTACCTTATAACTGCGAACGGAGAGAAACTTATAAAATTACAAAAAGTCAACAAAAAAGCAATACTGCAGCAAGCAATGCTTTTATTGTATTGTGACTTGTACGTCACATTACGTTATACTACAGACTTTATAAATCGTTCTGAAACTGCAAAATCTCAAAAAGAAAGTTGTTCAAAACCTTTAGAAAAGGATAAAACTCTCGGTGTTGATCAGTTCCTCAGGGATGCGCCATGCACTCGACTTTATTAAGAATCGTTAGAGATGACTGAATGCGTATCTGGCCTATACAAAAACTCGCGGTGGCCTACTGATGTGTCGAAACAGTGTTACTACCGTCCTAGACAAATGTGCTAGCAATTTACCGATTCTGAAGGACAGAGGGCATGGTGAGCCCGAGGAGGGGGATCATCCCAAGTGTGTTACAGTGCGCCTCTGACCACTGCCCTACACTCGCCGCTTTTAAAACCTGACGAATAGAAAATTGTTCGCAATCATTCATAAAAGGCAGTTTTCCAACTAGTAAGCAATTCTGTTTGTTCTTCGCGTATACGACCTCTCCGCGATCGCTCACCGAAAGCTGGTAGTCTTGCTGTTGCAGTGTGATGTGTGCCGTCATAAATTTTGATTAGCTGATAAAAGATAGGAAGAAATCGAAGACGTTCGCCGTTCAGTGGCTAAATATGAGAGAAAAGAAAGAACGACGGGAAAAAAAAGAAAGAGAAAAATGAACGGCTAACTCAAAGAATTTCTAATGTCTTCAATGTCCAGTTCAACGAATAAGAGAAAAAAACTACTATGACGTCTCAAAGCATGTTAAAAATCTTTTTGTCAAATACCTTGCTCGAGAATGAAAACTTGGAAGAAAATCGATATTTCATAAGAGGTTTAAGGAGTGGAAAAGACAACGTGCTGATAGAAAGTCAACAATGAATGGGCAGCGAACGATAAACCATGGATCGGATTAGACCAATCTGGAAGCACGTAGAGCCTAGAAGTCCTATGTACTGGGCAGAAGCTATTAATGAAAGGATGCTAAATCTACTAACTAATCCGAATTTAAGACACACCGAGTGAAAAATTGGGGAGAATGGAAAAGGAGATAGAGTTAGAGAAGAAAGTTGTAGATTGAAGTCGTCCCTTCCAAAACCCTGATAAAAGTGTGAGTGCTATAGCAACGAATAGAATCGAGGGCTCATTTACTTAGAAAAAAAGGTGGAAACAGCTGAAAAACACAATCCGAGGAGCAGATGTGTTTGCGCAAAACAACAAAAGGTCTGGGGAACAAGTTCTTCGCGCAAGCTTTTCGAGGAACAAACGAAGTCTATCGGTGAGCGACCGTCTCGGCAGTAGATCAACAAACCGATCAATAAGGAGGTCATCTTTGTACGTGGACCGGGCATGATTTCGCAATAGGTTTTGGTTATAATGGTCATATCGCCGATCTTTTTCCGTTATAATATGAAGTTTATGTCAACAACAAGTGTATTACATACATAAACAGGGCACAATGTTTGTTTTTAAGCACCAGAAAAAACTGCTGCACATATGTAACACCTATTCTTCACTTCTGGAAGCAAATGTCCTCATAAATCCCATTGGATACCAGGTCTTTCTGAGCGAAAATTTGATGTTGGGCTTTCTCATTCAGCCAAGTTCTCTACGAACACACACGTACCTTGGAAGTTCCTAATGACTAACAATCTAGAAATAAAACTTCAATGATGCTGAGATATTTGCAAAACTCCGGACCGCAGGTGTCTGCGGTGGAGAACGAACGCGCTATTGTCCTTTCCGGGGAGTAACGGGTTCACCACCACACCAGCAAATAATAATTTAAAATCTAGAAATAGTTAGACGAAACAAGAATTTGAACTGACCACCTTAGAAAAGGATATGATGCGTCTATAAGACGCAAAGCACTTCACCAAATTTGAAGAATTTCTAAACACTTCTCCAGACTCTCTTACAATCACTTTTGAGAGCATTGATGAGAATGGTTAAAAAACACGGAAAACACTTAGTTTCTGAACAGTTCATAGTGCTGCTGAAAAGACGTATAACGACAGAGGTCATAAACAGAAAAAGAATTACTTAAAACCGAGGTCGGAAAACGAAGCGCGGAATAACGAATCGTCTAGTGAGCTCTTAGACTCATGAACTCGAAATCCCATAGGCTTAAGAGAGCCGCTATAAGCGGGTTAAGCCAAACAGTCACGCAACGTCAAAGCATTTTGTTAGTTCTTAACAGTCGCAAAAAAGAAAAAAATTCTTAGAAAGGGGGCGTGGCGACAGAACAAATCGGTCGCGGTCGGATTGCTCTGCATCTCTCACACAATCTCAGTGGACGTGAGCTTTGCCTAAGAAATGTTCATTTGTATTAAGACTGATTAAAAAATAAAAAAGATTAGTGGTAATTGTTCTATACGATCCGTCTTTCACATATACCGTGCGAAACGTAGCACTTCTCGCATTCGATTCGTTTCCTCGCATCCATCACCAACCAAGGTCTTTGTAATGAATGTCGTTGAATGCTGGTCGAATCGATTCTCACTGGAGTCTCGAAATAGCTGTGCTAAAACCTTCCTTCGCAGACAGGAGGGACTGAGCTGTTCCCAGACAAATCGGGTACCAGCTTTCTAACCCCTTGGGGATAACAGGTTTGATTAGCCCGTAGCTGGATCGAACAAGCATCATGCTCGTAATGATCGGTATCACTACCGTTGTGCTGTTTGCCCCCTACTCGTGGTACTCCAGCAAATAATGTATAGTTATAGCCCTATGTGTTGATGATATGATATCTCGAAGCAACTTTTTGCGCTAAATTGTCAATTCCAGCAAAAAAAACTATGGAATAAAAACATACGTGGAATAAAAACCTCACTAAACTATCTACTTTACAGCCGTCATTACTGAATATTTTTGTAAAGAATAAATACGAGTATAACAACAGATAATGGTTCGCCTTGGTATTCTTTTCACTTCCATCACTAGCTCTTAGAATACGTAATACTCTGGTCCTATGAGAATCTATGAATAACGTCAACACTAAATAACTGTGTTTTTTTCGTGATGAAAGCTCTTGGAGATGGGGAAACGTCTGGAACGAAAACGAGGGACTCTTCAGCGAATGTTTGTCAATCAGTAGCCGAGTAAACAGTGAATAATAGAGCAAAAAGCTTATGATTCACGATCAAAACATATGAGAAAGAAAAACATTCCTGTCTGAGAAGAATAGAACAATTCCTCAGCACTAAAGAATGACAACATGATAGTTGAAGTATTCAGATTGTCGATTGGTCTCGTACGAAGATTTCCGTTCCGGCGCATCATATCATATTTATCACAACACATATCAATGAATTTCGCAGCGGCAACAACGAACGACGACACATCGTTCGTAAACATTGGAAAGACGACGAAACGCTAAAAGAAAAGTGTTAGTTGTCCGTTAAAAAATGGTACGATTTGTGACCCAAATTCCAGATAGGATGACAACGCAATGCGGGCGCGAAATTGGTGCAGTTATGGTGATTGAAAGCCAATTGGAAAAAGAAAAGTTTCCTGTTTAATGTGAGATACGAAAAAAGGCTTCAAGGTGAACTGGGCAATGTAAATGGCGTATACGAGACAACACCGCATCAAGAGACATTCGGTCGGAATCCACCCGTATTTGTCGTCGATTGAACTAATCCTTGTGGATAAAATCAAGGAATGAGTGATGAGAATGCTTCCATGTCTCTCTCGGAAAATCCCGTAAGCCCACCTCGCCCGATATCTAGCGTAGCGGAGTTTTTTCTTGGAGCATTTAAGCCGCAATGATGGAACGAACTAGAGAAAGCACGACCAAAGACGTAGAGAAGGAGTGTTGGAAAAACATTTCGCCATCGAACGAGATTCGTGAAGAAATGTCGAGTCCGATTCTCCTCAACACCACAGTAAAACAGCTGCAAAGAAATGTCCCGGTGAGGTTTAGAAAAACAGATTAAGTGAAACAGCGAAACCAAAGTGAACTTTCATAAGCATTTGAGAATCTGATCTTGATCAAATTTTCAGTTTAAGGAGTTATTTTCACATAGTCTTTTATGTAATAAACTTTTCAATGAACCGGTGACGGAATTTCTTTTAACCTCGACATTCGTCAATAATTCACTGCTTTCCTAGTGAGCATACGCGAGGTTATTATTACAGCATTCACTCATTCAGGATAGCTGACGTTTCGACAGTTTCGCTACCTTCGGAGCCTGGAAGGGTCAACATACAATCTGCTCGGCTGAACGCTTTCATAACCACGACAGACAGAACATAATACATAAATTCTTTATGTACTTATGCAAAAAACTTTTTTGTGTATTTATGTCGAGATTTATCTATGAAGTTTTGTAAGCTGAGTTTATGAAAACACTTGACTGAGGAGACTGCATGTCAATTTAACCTTTCCAGACTCTGAAGAAGATGAAACCGCCGGAACGTCAGCTATTGTCGATGAGTAAATGCTGTAATAACAGCCTGGTGTTCGCTCCTCAAGAAAAACAGTAAACTATCTTTATTGCCGTTTTTTCTTTCGTGACTGCTTAGCTATCTGACCTTAGATACTTTAACGACAAAATGACAACAAAATGAATAAATCTGATCACAGAAATAAATGCTATGAAAAAACATGAGAAAAACTTGTGGAAATCTAGTACTAACGCCCAAATAATCTGAAATTTTATTGACAAGAAGTGGTTCAATCTAAGGGCGCGTGTAGCGTAGTGGTTACAGCTCTGTAATGCACATGGATTCGATCCCATGGCCCAGGCTCGCCAAACCTTTCATCCATGAGGAGCTGACAAACCACTACTAGGCTTGTGTGAGAGGATAGCAGCACTGACTTCACAGATCGCTGGGCCACTACAAGTATAGACCAGCTATTCATTCAATCACCTATACGATGCCTAATGAAATCGAATGCATGACGTATCCCTCAAGGATTGATCAACGCCGAGACCTTTATCACTCTTTAAGTGGGTTCAGAATTGTTGAGTACTTATTAATGAAATTAAATCGAATAGTATAAAGCTGTCGTTTTTTCTTTTTTCCAATAATGTTAACATTTAAAGGACGATAAGGGAAAATAGCCCAAAACATTTAGAGGCGAGACAAGGGTTTAAATAATCGTAATCAACTGCACAATGTAAAGTAGTAATGATAAGTGCAACGACATGAGTTTTACTTCGAAGAAAAAATTAAAGAAGAGAAAGAAGATAGTCGTGAGAGCGCCAATGGAAGGTCATGACAAATAAGTTTCATTCTACGAGTACCGCACCTGACTCGGGTAAAAATCTACTAGCTAACTGGACGTGTAGTAGTCACATTTTTGTTGACGGTTAGTTCTGTTAACCGACTGAACAAGCTACACAGCTGCCGACGTGGCCATCGTTTTTCAACAGCGAACGTCCGTATAAGAGAGAAGTGGGAGGTCACTACAAATAAGTTAGGTTCTGTGCTGCCGATGACCAGTTCTGTTCAGTCACTAAACAAACGACTGAAGTGGACGTCGTTTTTCAAATGCAAACGTCCATTTGAGAGAGAGTAAATGCACATCAATGGGCGGTCAGCAATAGGACCACTCGACCAGTGAGCCCCAGATGACAAAATGCATTTAGCTGTCGTTGACACTGATTTGACGTCACGTCACACGATACTTCGTAACTCATGAGGAGGAGAAAATGTAATATAACGAAAAAAAAACTACGCTTTAATCGCTAGAGAACACTAAACGCATTTTACTCCATTCGTATCGTCATATAGATGATGAAACGCATATGTGACCGATACAATGACTAACGAAAGCTTAAGAAGTATCAAGTCGCTGTTTTTATGCTCTCAGACAAGTCTGGTATCAATTTTCCGACCCTTGGCGAATGGATGGGTGGGTTGACTTTGGACGCAGGGATGAACCGAAGACCATATGTGCATTGCGAGGCACCTCTAACTACACTCACTACACTTGCTCGGCGCTTTACATAATAGTTGTAGATAGTTTAAAACTATTAGTAATAAGTTCGATATGAAATTAGTGCTTTAAGAGATGACAGAGATGACGGATATCTGATGCAAGTGTTCTTATTCAGTGAGGATCTAACGCTTGTCAACAGCGAGATCGGGTATCGAACCGGTGACGCAAAACCGAACAAGCGGCGCCTTCTTCTACTGTGTCATTCTTCGCTATTATGTTGAAATAAGCATTTCTTTTCAACAGAACCACTCTAAATCGCATGTAGTTCCTCTTCAATCATGCCACGTTTTGGGTTTCAAGCATAGGTACAACAATTCTGCGAGTTTTCGTTGTTATTCGCATTGCTTTTCTTCAGTTTCTAACTGGGAGTGATTTTTCAATACAATGAAACCAATGAGAAGACAATTTTCGTGTCACGGATAACAAACTATAATTGACAGAAACACCTAGTTTAATTTCGAAATATCAGAGATCCCGCATAGGGATGCCGGGATATGAACAAAACTCGGAATCCCAGTTGGGTTTCGAAGCTGCGATTAGCGAATAGAACCAAAACAGACGAAGGTTAAAACCCTTTCGATAGTATTTGATAGGTTGGGGTACATGGCGAGCACCATATAAATTCTTTGGTAGAATTGGTCTATTTGTACAGACCTATACGAAGAAGAGAAGCTGGCAGATTGATTTGTATAAGTTGTGACATAAGAACATAGACGTACAAAAATGAAACATTTCTATGAATTCCCGTTCTGTTTGGGCTAGAAAGGTTATCCCGGAACAAATCCAGTATGAATACTTCGTCATAAAATAAATAGATCAGGGAAAAACGAAGTAGAAAAGACGAAGGTTAAAACCCTTTCGACAGTATTTGATAAATTGAGGTACATGGCGAGCACCACATAAATTCTTTGGAGGTTCAACTCTGCTGGCAACGGTCGGTAACAGAACCACACAGAATTATCGATCGGTCATCCCGAAAGCCTTTCGGATCACTCGCAAAAACTCACTGTGTTGTTCATTTGGGGAACAACGAAAATACGAAAAAAAAAACGTCTTCAAATTGCTAACGTCATGCTTGCACTCATAGTTTGAATCACCCGCCAATTACTAGTAGAGCGTCAGCAAACACACAAAGGGTTCATCATTCTCTTAATATTGAAGCAACACTGGAATATTAAGTATATGACAAATAAAAATGACATATCTAATATGAGCGGACAAAATATGATGTAAAAATTGAGCAATGAACTTTTGTAAACAGCAAGAGCGAAATAGAGAGAGAGAGAAGGAGAAAATGAAAATTTTGAAATAATATATAGTGTAGAAAGCAGTAATAACAAGTATTTTACAATCATATTAAGACGCTTTACTTGATTTAATTTCACTAACTTGTAACGTTAGCCTGAGAAGCACAGTGGTTAGAAACGCCACGCTGTAGGCATATAGTCTCTGGTTCGACAATGAACCCCCAATGAGCACCCGCCATATCCGGAGCCGACAGAATCGTCGCACAGCTTTCTCAGAATGTGGAAAACCCGCATCATAATAGTTAAATGAGATTTTGGTGGATCCCTTATAAGCTTTTAGCAAAGGCCAGCCGTTAAAGTATCTACATAATCAATTCTCGATAAGTATCAATGCGAAACACTAATCACTGTGATGCTGAGATATCTACAGAACTCCGGAGCGCAGGTGCCTGCAGTGGCGCACGAACGCGCTATTGCCCTTTCCAGAGGCTAAAACGTTCACCATCACACCATGCGGCTCCTTCATTCCGTTTTTCTCTCAGCTGGTTTTCCTCAGTTTTTTCTCGCGGCTACCAATCACTGCGAATGATAAAGATATTTAATTTAAAAAAAGTGATTCTGAGATGCATTTGCATAAAATGATGTAAAATGAATAAAAGCCCATCGCTTGATGGGTAGAGGAAACTGGAACTGATACTACAGTAAACCAAAGAGGTACAAAAATCGATAAAAAACTACAGGATGAGAAAAAGAAGGAATAAGGAAGAAACGAAAGGAAATAAAAGTAGTGACCTAACATGGAAAAGTTTACGAAACAACCAGATAGAAGTGCCATAAAGAATACAACAGCCGATGTCACAAAATGTATTGATACAACGCAAAAAAAGAGGGAAAATATCGGAGGAAATGGAGAAATACGAAGAAAGAAAAAGAAAATAAAACACTCCAAGGCTTATGTTCGCTAAGAGATGTTCGCTTCCCAAGATTTTGATTCCTAGAAACTACTCACGAGAACGAGGGAGAAAAGAGTTGGATGCTGCTTGCATTGAGTACGCAACTAAGTTACAAATTTTAGATCATATGGAATTAGTATGGCATATGGCGATCAATGAATCGCCGACGATCGATCATCAATGATTTATTACTTGCCGATCAATGAA